CGCTGTTGCTGATGTCTTTGAAAGTTGTTGATTTTGTTGCTGTTTTTGTCGCTGCTACTGTCTCTGCTGCTGTCGATGCCGTCTTGTTATTTTCGTTGCTGAGACCGTACAGTCTGAAAACCATTAGGTTGGTTTGAATTCCAAGTTTGGTAGGGTTTATCTTTCGGGTGCAGGTGGCAACATATTGTAGCAACACCCAAAGAACAAACACTGGTTTGACAAACAGATACCTACATTTTTTAATAGCAAGAACCTAATCGTGTGCTTCTAAGCCATCAGGTCCAATCATTCACACACACTTTTTCGTGCATTCCAAATACGACAACTCTCAGCTCTCTAATTTGGTGTTCCTGGGGTTAGGAAATCTGATGCTTTACACTCATTAGCACACAATTTGACAAGTGAGACTTGCAAGTTGTACTGGGTGCAAACAAATACCACCCAGAACATGCTATTAGAGAGTAACATACATTTTTTATCAGAGAACACCTTTCTGTTTAACTTTAACAGACTAGCGTTCAATAAATTGAAACCGATCTCAGTTCACAGTCACGTAGACCTATCACTCAGAACAGTGATTCTGTATCATTCTCACTCTCTCTGGCAAGTGTTAAAGGAACCTTGAACCTTTATGAGGTTAAGGGTTCCGGAATTCGTGAAGGATCTGGCCGAATCATAACTATCTGATACGACGTAATACAAATACTCAGAACATTCCATTTCCATGTTTTATTTCACAAATAAGACTAACACCGCAATGTAGAAATGAAAATTTTAACGCTATCTAGATTTCTAGAAGATGTAAAACTGAATCACTTACCTTAGAGAACAAGCTATGATCATGCACTTAAGTCATGAGTGGACCATGTATGCCTGAAGGATGCATTAGTTAGAAAGCCTATCGGTAAAAGCGGAACAATGATTCACATGAAGGAAGTTCAGCGTCTAGTTTAAAGACCGACGACGACAAAACTACAGAGATTTGCCCCATTTACTTCCCATTAATTTTAATTACATGACGAGCATTATATAGATTAAAGAGATAAACCATGTCATTGTAAAAACTGTAAAAATTTGCGTGGTTCCAGTATAATTCAACATGCCAACCAGATCAA